CATCAATTCATAGAGAACACCAATTCATGGCTGTTGTGGGCAAAGGCAGTTATATGTTTAACTATCCAAACCACAAGGTTGAAAGTCAACAGTTTGTGACTTTGATGTAGTCAAGGGCGGATCCGGGGGGGGGGGGGCAAAGGGGGCCATGGCCCCCCCAAAACGAAACCTTTTTTTTTTTTGTGACATCGCAATAAAGGCAGGCAATGAGTACACCACCATCTTTTCCTCAAAAAAACATTGGTTAAAGTGGTCAGAAATTGCCTCAGATCGCACCACAGAGCATCTAGAATCCAAAATTTTTTCGGGGCCCTTAAGCGGGCCCCGAACCCCACGCCGTAATTTTTTTGACCCACTTTTTTGGGGGGACCAAAATTTTTTGGCCCCCCAAAATTGTGTTCTGGATCTGCCCTTGGATGGAGTACATTATAACTACAATTTCATTGATATTTTTTTGAATAAAACAGTTGACGCAGAGGATCTTGTAACCGATCGATTTTTGTTAAAACTTAATCAGAATTTTGCTAGGGAAAAAAATATATTTAGAATACACAAAGCTAGTCAGAATTGTATATCTCTGTGCACCCCCTCCCCGTCCGCATGACTGCCCCTCCCGAGTTCCTTGAAAGGCATATGACGTCACCAGGAAATAATGACCCAAGATGCAATTGCGATACTTAACATTATTTATGGATATTTTATGTTTGTCACTCAAAACGATTCCCTACCCCCACACCTCCCGGATACAGAATGGCTTAAAGTTAAGGAGTGGGCTAAGTTTCACCGCTTATTCTACTCCCATGCCCCGTGTGTAGCAGAGGCGGATCCAAGATTGACATAAGGAATGGCTGGGGTATTGATGTCTAAGTTTTTTAACGAAAACAAGAGCTGTTTCGGTTTGTACACCGAAACAGCTAAAAATCTTAACGAAAACAAGAGCTGTGAACTAATGCTGCAATAAATGAACGCTATAGCAATGCACAGACCAATGCTGCATATGGTTCGTGCGCACGTAGCACTACGAAACCATGGGCCCAGCCCCAATCAACCACAATGCACCCGCAAGTGAACGGCTAAACTGTCTAACAGTTCGCCCGCGCGTAGCATATAGCGCAATCACCATCCGCTCCGTTCACAAGTACCCCCTCACCGGCAAAGAAAGCACAGTTGGGGGTGACCGACCGACGCCATCTTGCCTGACTGAAATTTTGCCGCGACGCGCGGCCGCCGAACCACTGTGTGTACATAGTACAAATCCCCTGGTGTACATGCGTCACACACAAGGAACGGTGCGCGTCAACCAGCTAAATGTCCCGCCCATGGTACGTCGTTGCTAGGCAAAAGGGCGCCCTCTTTTGTTGCCGCACAGAGCCCATATAGCAATACACACCACAGCGAGAGCACACTCAACTCACCTTCGTACAGCTCGCCGCCACTTGCCAGAAACTCCCCGCGCAATCTCCCCACGCGCATACATAGCATGTGCACTAAACTATTTTGCTGCACTAAACCTATGGGGCTTTGTTAACCAATCGCGAGCGTGCATACACGCAAGCACTGATTGCTAAGCCACGCCCAGTCACGGGCCTACTATACTACAGTTCATTCATAAGATAAGAATACAATAACATGTACATGTACATGTGCATAAAAACTACACTTTCCGTCACAGTATTCATAATTTGTTCCTCGTCATATAGGTTTATTGCGAAACGAACGGGACCATAGTTCTTTTCCCTTTACTTTCAGTGGTGAGCCGGGGGACCTAACGATCTTTGTAGTTTTGTGAACGAGAACGTAAGTTTTTAAAGAACCCAACGTCTTACACCTAAAGATCTCTGTAGTTTTGTGATGATAACATAAAATTTAAAAGAACCCAGCGTCTCTGAACTACAGGTCTGTGTAGTTTTGTGAATGAGATTGTAAGATTTGAAAGCGTCTAATAATAAGACCCACAGATCTTTGTAGTGCTGTAAATAAATGAGAACGTAAGATTTGAAAGAACCTTGTCTTAGACCTACATGTCTTTGTATACTGTTGCAGTGGCAGTTCTACGGGGGGCTGCTCCCAAATATTTGTCTAGCCCCCCAACAAAATTCCATAAAAAAATTGCATTAGCAAAAAGAAAGAATGTGACGTACATGCGAACGGTCTCCACCTAAAGAAATAGTCGTGACAAGGGTGCATTTGTAGTTAATATAGTGTGCCTGATTGTAGGATTTTATTGGCACTCCCTATTGAAAATATGGCACGAACCCCCTCCCCCCCCCCCCCCTCCCCCACCTATTCGATTTTCGGAAGCCTAAGTGTCTGGAGAAAATAACCGGTCTACATTTCAGCACGCCTCCCTAAAAAAAAATTCTGGATCCGCCCTGCTAAGGCCCCCCAAAAAAATATATTGGCTCTAGAACCGTGCCTATACTGTTGTGAATGAGAAAGTAAGATTTGAAAGAGCCCAGCGTCTTAGACCTACAGATCTTTGTAGTTTTGTGAATAAGAACGTCAAATTTGAAAGAACCCAGCGTCTTAGACCTATTATCTTTGTAGTGTTATGAATGAGAACGTAATATCTTTAAAGAACCCAGTATACACCCAGCACACCCTCAGACACAGACACACCTTCATAACATATATTTTAGGAAAGCATTTCAAAAATAAACCCGTATGCCCACTAGCTTCCCACGCCTTGCGGATATTTAATAACCATAAAACAAATTATTTTTAATTATTGAGAAATGAAAAATTAAAAAAATGTTTGATAAAAATCAAATGTCATTTATTTCTCAGAGCAAATATTGATAATGTCAGTAAATCGACATGTCCTACACAGCTGCCAAAAATAGTTGTGAACATGGATTTTAATCATGCGCGTCAACCTTTTTTCCCCAAATTAACATGGAAGCTACAACAGCGCCCTCTATTGCCGCGCCTCTTCACATGTTTGTACCAAGGAGCAACAAGGAATGGGGAAATTGCACCAAGGCAAATGATAAAGGGCACCAAGGCAAATTATGGAGGACACCAATTGATGCGTCGCCGCATCAATTCCGGAACTTCGGTCTGACCAGAGACCGACTATTTGTTTGTTTTTTGGCCAAATGTTCGTTTACTAGGCCCTGCGAATGTGCTCACCCAAATGAAACATATATTGATGTCATCGACACATTGTTTACAAAATGTTGGCGCCCTGTATGCAATCCTTCAAAGTGTCACTGTGAAGTGAAGTGAAATGTTCCGGTAATATGTTCAACATAGCCCCGATAAAGGATCATTACGTGCACTGCACTGTGTGTCGGCCATTTTGGAAAACATAGCCTGCTAACGTTCGTCACTTGCGCAAACGTTGCCAACGTTGGCATAGCTCGCGAAAGTGGAGTCTTACGGTCATCTATATAACCGGCGTAAACCAGAACTGCTGTTCAGGAAAAAAGTCCCTTGTTAGACTATGGACTGAAAGATTTACACCCACACACGAGACAGTAGGAAGGGCACTGCACGGTCAAAGGTCACGGAAGATACAACGGCAGAATGTGGGCCTAGCCTATACGTCGTATGATGAATGTAGTCGTCTTTCCTGGCATTTGTAATTCAGGTTGCCATTTTAAGTTTGTTTGCCTCTGCAATGTTGTCCTTATATACTCAGTCACAAGTTGGCACTTACATTATTATAAGATCATAATTTATTTGCCTTGTGGCATAAAATATTAGTCTGAATATCACCCGTTCTCCACGGAGCCCATCTCCGGTCGAATATTTGATATATCTAAGCATGCGTGACGTCAATTCACTCCAAAATCTGGACTAAGATTTTGATTGGTCAATTTCGATGTCTATACATGTAGTTGCATAATTAATCGCCGAATCTGCCTATATCACAGGGGTATATTACATAGAATAAGTGATCATAACGACAATTAGAATTCAGCTAATTACGGAAGTCTGTTTTCCTTCGGCCGGACAACAATATCGAGAGGGGAGAGGATTATGTCCAAGTTTCAGGCATAGAGAATTAATGTGGGCCAGAAGGGACACAACTTTTGCAAAAATATCAGAAATATAATAAATATAAAAAAATATACTTGCAAATCTAGAAACAAAAACAGAGGAGGGCAGGAAATAGAAAACGAGTCGGGATGAGAAACTTTTCACTTGCCCTTAGTAAAGAGTGCTTACAGAAAATAAAGAAGTCAAATAGAGATACAATTAAAATCACACAAAAAGGCAAGAAACGACTTAACGACTTTTCTACAAAATAAATACAGTATTTTAATATGCGTCACTTGACGAATGTTTGGAAATGGCCTTCTTGTGGTGTTGTCTTTCAAACGGACAACATGCCAGAAAGAATAATTTCACGGGGAGTTTATTACCCTTCCCTTTTACTCCCCCATTTACGCTCCCTTTTGACAGCGTCAGTTACGTGTTTGGATAAACCTGCCAATGATCTTATGTAGCCTCAATCCTGTAAAATCCTCCAATTGGCCTCATGGAAAAACAACATACAGCCTCAATCCTGCAAATTACCATTAGTTCTTGAATATGGTCCCGGAGGGTCACCCCTTCCTGAGTCATGCAAAATTATGCGGCAGTGACTGCCAATATCAGTGTTGAGGCTCCAGTGACATCCTGGAGCAGTATGGAGGATTTCAAGCATAATCCAGGTCTATATTTATGCTTGGCAGAGCAAAAACAACACAAGATCCGGCCTAAGACCTTGATGAAATGCATCCTACGAAATCAGTAGCGCACGTCTGCCACGTAATCTCAATCCTCCAAAGGCAGCTAGTGCCAATGGATGAGGAAGGAAAACGTGAAAAAAAAACACGTTTCCTAACATTTCCTAAGAGTGTTTGTTTATGGTGGTTGTGATGGCAAGAACAATATTAGGTCGGCTGTTTCGTATCTCGGCTCCATTATCAACATTGAGCGTTTTCGGGAAGTGTGGTATTTTCATATAACCCACCTACGACGCTGAAATGAGGCAGCTCACCGCGACGACGATGCATATCTTGTGGGTCTTTGTGGCCACTTGCCTGGTGCGCCAGAGCGGGGCGTTCCTGCCAAGCAACGCCGGTGTTTCGCTACCAGTGACCGACTACACCCTCACGGACATCACGGTGCAGGGTATCGTGCGTGCCGTGGCGAGGTACTTCGAAGATACCAATCCGGATCGGTACCGTAAGGGCGATCTTACGGGACTCAATCCCTTGACTCCTTCGCGGTTGTTTCTGAGGCACTACGGAGGTAAGACCCATGCACACACAGTCATATAGCAATGTACATGATACTTGGGGCTTTGCAGGGTGGATAGTTCAACTCGAGAGATGTTCGTGGATATCCGCTAATTTTGAGATGACTAATAACTATGAAAGAAACGCGTGATTCTAAGAAAAAACACAAAGTGATATTATTAGCTCGACGTACGAATACCTACTGTCCAAAGTCACTTCACTTTTCGAATCTGTCAATGTCTTGTATGTAATTAGCTGACTTAACAACAAGAACGGTTGTTGGGAATGCCTATCAGATGAACAATGAATATTTTGACTCTTTATCACAATAGTTCCTTAACTTGTAAACCATACAAACAATGTTTATATAGAGCAATGCACAGAGTAAGGGTTCAGAGCCATTGAAATTTAATAAAATGATTTTTTTCTTTTTTTAGATAGCTACTCTTTACTGTAGGGCTGAAAGCATCTAAAACGACTTTACATTTATAGTAATCCCGATTGGCACCGAAACGTCGATTAAATTGTTTTTATTTTTTACAGTGACACGAACAGTCTTCTGAAACGCATGTTAATGTATGGCTTTATTTTAACGTCTTGTTATGTATCCTGGCTGTTTTTTGTGTGTGCTAGATTGTGTATACTCCACCAAATTTGAACGAGTCATCAAAGCCATACTGAATGCGAACATTCAGATATCTAACAAATACTCGCACAGGGCAGTCTGGCACTTTAACGGAAACCAAATTGACAATGGTATGTATAAACCTTCAAATACGTTGGTATCGATATTAACCAGCTTTCAATATTTTTGTATTATTCAAACGAGCCGCAGCCCCCATCACGCCTGCACCTTAACCTTTCGACCTTAATCCATAGCTGGTACTTGATAACATGAAAACAACCTAGGTCCTCTGCTATCACCTCAGACTGTTGGGTCTCCTATATACACCATAGGTCCTCCCTCTACTGAGACTGCAGCCCTACTGTAATTCGACTTCAGTGGGCACACCAAGCTTGCTCTACACTTCATCGATTTCGATATTACCACTTAGTCTTAAGTGTTTACTTTCTTAGAGTTTAGGCACTCTCCTGAAGACGGTCAGAGCATACTGACTGGAACGTCGAGTTCATACCTCTGGTTCTTTTCAGAACCATTCTCTTAGTTTGAGAAATTATTCCCACATGGTGTTTCCAAAAACCTTTCATTCATGAAAACCACCTCTTTTGATTTTCACCAAAATAGCCAATGCTGACCATTTATCATGCAGTATTTTTGATATATCATATTCACCAATGTCATGTTTTAAAAATAAACGTGAGAATTCTTAATGTTTACGTTGTTCTGTTTGATAGGCCTGATGATTGTGACCTCTTAATAATGTTCCTGTTCAATTACTGTTCCAAAAAGTCCAGCAAAGCGCAGAAACAGTATTGACAATTCCTGTTAATGTACCTTTAGGGAGACATTTTCGGCATATAATTTGGTGAGTTTTAGATTTCAGTCCCGCTCAGGAATTCATTTTTGTGCATTTACAAAAGTAACATATGCACAATGAAATTAGGCAGTTGCATTATATGTATATTGTGTTCTGCATGTATTTAGTTTTAAAACAGAGACTAAAATTACATGAATTTTGAGAAAGTTTAATAAAGGAGCGTACAGTTATTTCAAAGAAAAATATAAGTACATTTGAAGCGGAAATTACACTGTAAACAAAGTCCGTAAAAACACTGTCAAATTCGCGTATTTTTTACCGTTATCGCTCGAAGCGTCACAAGAAAGAACATGCTACGTGAATTTCCCGTAAAACTTGGTGCCCTGACGTATATGACGCAGGCTGGGATTCACAGTGCTTTTGTATTCGTAACCTTTCCAAACCCCTCCCCTTTCAAACCGTTTTTTTAAGCTGTGATTCGTATACACACCTAGTGCAAACACGCAAGGTTCGCTACGTGTATTTTTCATTCAAAGCTGATCACTGTTAATGCTTTGATGTTGCAGAATTTGGAGAGCGATGCAGCTAATCCTGCGGTGTTGACCAGCAGTGGGTCGGCCCCCTTTCTGTGGGATTAATAAAAAGCTGTAAATGAAAATTACATAACAACTTACAGATAATATCACCTAAAATGATACGAAAACTACTATGCGTGTAACAGACAAGCTGTAAAACGTGTGCATACCCAATTCCCAGCTGCCGCAACTGGAACCTATTTCCCCCCCCCCCCCATACTACCCCTGCATCCAGCCCCGACGCCACCCCACTTTGCATTCCTTCTACTTTTCGGCAAATTACCGTTAAATTTACGGGAAATTCGTGTTTTTGGAAAAGCCCCATAACTGACCGTAATTTTACGGTTTTTTTGTTGACAGTGCTTTTACGATAAGATTACGGAACATTTTTTTACATAACTTAGAAAATGTAAAGGTTAAAGGTGATAGCAGGAAATAAATGTTGGATATTTGCCGACACAATACTGCGTAAAAACACAGACTTTTTTTCTGTGCCGGCCAAAGTGACCGATTTGTTACTTGGTGTGATCATTTTGTGCAAATGTCACATAAAATGAAAAGGTCATGAGAATTGTATAAATGTATTTGCTTAAATGAAACTGATTTTCTTATCGCCACTATGACTGAGGTTTGGAGAAATGCAAATGCCAAATCCAGACTCCTATAAGTGCGTTTTACTCTCGATAAAATGAATACTTCTGTCAAATTCGCCTAATCGAAAACCAACAAACGAAAGAGAATTTTCCTGCGTGAATGTTTTTGACCACACGCTAATGTGAACACAGATACGAGATCTAATGCTCTGCGATTTGGAAACCGTATTCGTACCCATTGACTCACTGAAAACTCATGGAATGGATTGAAAACCTATATGACACCTTTTTAGCTCTGCTATACGGAAGGGACTGGAAAGCATCTGCCACTTGGTGGGGCTGTGGACTGGTAAAAGAGGCAAAGGAATTGGAGATTGGGGGTGCTTATTTGGGAAAAGCAAATAGGTTCTCAGCCTCCTGAATGCCCCTAAGGCTAAATAGGCATTCATTCAGTTCAATCAAGTTTTTATTTCATAACTTCCATAATGAACACAAATAAAGTTCGCAGCTTAATAGTAGATAAACAAGACATAAAAGTATTTGACGAAGATAAATAACAAAGATACATGGAAAGCAAAAAAGTTATGTGGAAGATGTTAGAAGTCCAGGGACTTATAAAACACTCCATTTTACCACCCCCCCCCCCCCCCAAAGAAAAAAAAACATTGTTCCCGTTAAGCTCAACTACCCCACCCCAACCTAAGAAAAATAAAGATATATTTTTTTTTAGGTGCCGCGCTTTTTTTGTTCTCACTGAAATCACGGATCCTACACACCAGGACAAACGGCTGTTCTTAGCTCCAGTACAAAATGCACTGAGGGTACGTACTTGCCTTAATTGGTATAGATGCGTGATAACGGGCATACGTTGGCGCGTAATCGCGAATTTTCCAGGTATACCATTGTGTCGGGGTTTTGAACGACATCTAAAACGGAAATATTCACAAAACTGTAAAACTACTAGCAAAACTACTCCTTATGTAAGATATATTTGTTCCTAAATTGTAAAAAAAAAAAAAATACTTCGGGATATAACAGATGGTATTGTGCAGTTTTTGTCGTCATAGATGAAGTATTTACCTGGGAAATAAATGTCAAATTTCGAGGAAAACATCGTTTACCCAAATTTCGTTTTTATAGGCTTTCATTAACAAGTTTTAGAGAGATGTGATGCCGAACCGATGAAACAAAAGCGACATTTCATTGTTCATTTAAAGCTAAAGATATCGTGCTTGGCATTAACATGGTTATGTAGTTATCACTTTATCAGAATTCAATAATAAAGACCCAAAACGTAGACTCATGAATATTCGAAAATATAATTAGCTGGCTTTACAGACTTCGACACCATATCGGGCGCAGAGCCCTGCAAATCTGAAAGCCACCGCACGCAGCGGTCTTTGTTGACAATTATTAATGGTATTTGCCACCAGTACGAGCCGTTATCACGCGTCTAACCAGGAGTTGGGCCGAGTCGTTAATCATTGTGTGTAGGATCCGTGCTGAAGTCAACCCAAATATATCGTGAGGATGTTACCCGCACTTTCAAACGTTTAGTCATCCCTTGGAGGTCAAATAAGAAAGTTTTAATAGCTTATTTGTTTGTTCTTGGTTTTAATGAGATTGAGTTAACAGTAGCACCATGTTACAAATCTCTTTTGTGAGTTTGTGAGGTTCTGAAAAAAACCAGGGAAACTTGTTTCGGACAGTATGCTGTGCCAGTCGTCAGGAGGCTCAGGGGTTCTAAAGGGTGGTTATGCTGTAGAAGTGAAGCGTGGAGGCCTGAATTATCAGGTTGTTGGCAAAACTGTTGCCAACCTTGCATGTAGTTTATGCAGCTTCATGGTCGCCAATATAAAACGTCGTGGCTGAATGCTTGTGAACAAAAGAAAGTGTCCCGTCTTCGAACGTCCCCCTCCCCCAAGGTAACCGCAAGATGATGGGCATCCAGGACACCTTGCTGACCCTCCTTCTGGCGGGAGACGAGAGCACGCCTGACTACGATGTGGCGCGCCAGTACTGTGGCCAGTTCCTGCACATGGCTCAGAGCTTCTACTCCAACACCAACTGGATCGAGCTGCACCGATGGCTTAACGAGAATCCCGATGAAATCTTCACCTCCAGTGAACTAGGTAAGAGTTTCATCTTTCTTTACTCCGATACGAAGCCACTGGAATGGCGTGTTAAACCACTCACAACACATGGGTTGAAACCCACAACGCGTTTTGTTTGCAAAGAAAAAAAGTTGCCATTGCGTATCTGAAAGTTTTTGCAGCGGGATAAAATCTAGGGATCGACCAGCTTCGAGGAAGATTCTTTTAAAAAAATGTTTAATGAAAAGGACTAGTGGCAGAACGGATTTTTTTTTGCTTAGCTCTCCCATACCTTTACTTAGCCGAGCGATCGTTGAAAAAAACCCTTTCCAAACACTATAATTCTGTCAACGAATTTATTTTTTTTGAAGGGGGTGGGGGCTGGGTCAGAGGATTTACCCGAAAGCGTTTCCGCCCACGGCACGCTGTGATTCTGAAGCAAATGCCGAAACGCACTTTTCCTCTTATGCGTTTTATATAACTGTTTTTTTGTGTGTGTGCTTTAAAAGGAGCAACTTTAAGAGCATGCGCCCATTTGTGCTCGTAAACGCGTTTTCCATGCACGAATTTGTTAGGAACCGGATGTTATCACGGATCCTACACACATGGTCCGTGATGTTATCAAACGGGGTATTCCCCCTTTTTCCCCATACATGTAGGCCATTACTTGCACTTCCTGTCATCCTGACCTTTGATTATGCCTATATTTAGGAACGAATATTAGACACATAGGCCTAATGTTGGCAATCTCCGGAAGAAAGTTACCATTAATTTTATTGCACCGAATAAATTGAGAACAAAGACACTGTACTCGAAAATAGTAAACTAAACGTGCAAGAAATAAACAAAGCGCCAACATTCAGCCATTAAAACTTATTCATAAATACTTAATACAGTTTATCCATTCCAATAGGTCGATAGCCCGTCATGTGGCCGGTTTTAAACTATTTATAGAGACCGGTGGCTTGTCTTCAACACTTTTCCAGTGTCACATGAAAGTTGGACTCCTATGAAATCTGGTGCCTTTTACCGTTTTATTGGTTGAACGTTCACAATCCCCACGTAGGCATGCGCAATACTACCAGTGAGTCAGTGTTTCATAGCCCTAAATTCACAATACACCGGCACAGCTGCGTTCTGTGCCCCGCATCGGGCAGTACGCGCGACGCGCTCGCCATCTCCTTATGGGCTTTATTCACGAGTCGGCCATATTGAATTGAAAGCGAGGTAAAATCTATATTTTTTTAACTTGCGAAGAGAAACGAAAGCATGACGTAAAGTTAATTGCAACATTACCTCGTGTTTAAGCCACATTTGATTTTTTTTTAAATGAGGCTGCAATGCATAGATAGTCTGGCACTATCCCATTCCACAGTTTACAATTTATACAATACATTCAGGGAACACGACCAAAATGGCTTCCTTGTGAATAAGGTCCTAAAGTGTGCACACCGGTAAATAGGCCAAAAATCCATCCGCTGAGCTCATGATTTAAAGTTATACCCTCAAAATATTCTACGTTAGAGATTTCTGAGAGCCATAACAGTGGGCAATTGAAGAGATATGGCAATGAACCTCTGGCCCGGACTTGGGGCTTCCTGTTCTGAGCATTTTGGATACAATTGGGCTCGACAAAGTGGCGCTATTTTGCCTTGTTGTGGAGGGATCGTTTTTCAAGATGGCTACCGTTCCGCTTTGGGCGAAAATTTCTCGAAAAGTCAATGGTCAACCCACCAAAAAATGAAAAGAAAATTAAAGATGACATGTTGATCATCATTTTTCTGTGCAGCTTAAATACATGTGAGAATTTTGAGTATTTTTAACTGAGAATTTGAAGTATGGGCATTTAGCACTAGTGTCTATGGGAATTTTAATGCAAGGGTGCACCCATAAGGAATTGTTTACGACTACTCGCGAGAGGGACAAACCATAACATAGCTAGAGGGGTGTTTCGAAAAAGTTGAAGTAAAATTGTTGAACAAAATTGTTGGAAATATAATTTTTTATATATAAATATAATTTTTTATTTGCTTTGGACCGAAAAGTTTTTATTTTTGGTTGGAGTCTGGATGCTAATAATTACCCTCGCTTTTGACTCGGGTAATTATCAGCATCCAGATTCCAACCGGTCTTAAACATCGTGTTTAAAACCGGCTAAGCACACATTTATTGCCTTAATCAAGACAAATGATTTGCACATTTTGCATAGCAACACTTGAGCACACTGAATGATGTATGTATAGTCCAGTTTCGTGAATAGCAAAAGTAACAGAAAAACACAAACAAAGTATCCAAAAAGCAGATCACATGCCAGATGGCCCGGATGTGACACAGGAACAAGATTTTCTCGATATCGACTGATTGTAATCTAGATCCGTGTTATGATGCCAGATGACCCGGATTTGCTTTGGTCTAATGTTGAATTTCGATTGGCAAACAATTTATGTACTTAGGACGTCTATGACAGATGTGTTTGCGAGGGGAAAAAAAGAAATTATGCACGGCCTCTTGGCTAGAGGGTTTAAAGGAAATGGCATGGAACGAAGAAAATAAGATCCATGTAAATCGTGTTGCGCACTGAAATAAGGTTAACAAAGAAATTGACTAGTATATAGAGCGGGGTTTGATCCTGCATCCTCCGGCTTACCGTTCCGGTGCTCTACCAACTGAGCTATCGCGCAGTCTTGTGTTGGCGGCTCCCCATTTAGTCAGTGTCTTTGTTTGAAAAATATCTTTGTTGAATGATATAAATAGTTTGATCTTTTAAAGCATTCTCTTGGGGGGGGGGACCGCTTTTAAAAGATGTATTTCAATAATCCTTTTAACATTTTTTTTCAATTTTCTTTTCTAGGTATACATGATCCGCTGTCTTTGCGCCAAAGCCCTGAAAGCGAAGGCATGTGTCGAAACTGTGCCGGAAACATTACACGGTAATTCATCCGGGAAACGCCAACGAAAAATGAACCGAAAGAGATGAGTGCTTCAAATTCGATAAAAGAACAGTGCTTTGGATTATGTCAAACGTATCAGTGATTCATGAAAACTAGAACGAGGTTTGCGAATATTAGATTACAATGTAAAAGCTTTATACTGCAAACATTTTTTTTATATATATATAATCCTACATTCCTATATCAGGGGCGGATCTATAGCTTTTAGGAAACGCATTCAGACGGGGGGGGGGTGTTTGATATTTGAGTGAAAGCATGCCCTCGTTATAGGGGGTCAGGGGCATTCCCCTTCCCCCATTCCTAAGGAAATTTGAGAAACAAATAGGAATTTTAAGTCAAATTTCATCGTTTGTTGGCCCAACTTTACTAGTATAATAAAAAACAATCAGCGTTTGAATGGGGGGGGGGGGCCTGAGGGCCGGGGGGAGGGGAGGGGGATGTTTACACCCCCGGATCCGCTACTGGCTATGCAATTATAGCTCAAAGTCATAAGTCATAAGATATGAAAAATATCTTCCTCAAATTAATTCGTGATTGAACTGACCCGATAAAAAGAAAATTGTAAATGTGATATAATCATTGGGAACAATGTAAAAGTTCTTTTCGTTTCTTTTTCTCGATTCCCCATATTTTTTTCGACAGTCCCGAACTGCAAGATTGCTCTAACAATCTTCGCCCCTATGTTCACTACCTTACCAGCGGCTACAGAAGCGGGCAGGATGTGACAAAGCCAGGTAAATAATCACGTGCCTTATTTCTCACGGCCCAAAATTAGAAATAAATTCATTCCAGAATGCTTGGATACTAAATGCTTTTTGTGTTTCTATCCGCTAAATTCTAAACTCAAGATCCACATCTTCAAGCAAATGCTATTTGGTTGCGAATTAATGACGTCAACGGGAAATTTCCGTTATAAGCCTATAAAATTAAGAATAGCAGGTTTTACAGGTGGGAGGAAACGTCTCCAATCCACCTGTCACACCTTGGTAGGATTCGAACCCAGGTCACCGGGGTGCTCCTACTCGACTCCCCAAATTAAACCCCGAACATTTATTTTGATATGTCAACTCAATTCTCTCGCAGCTGCCGACCCAGAAAGTGACTTGGGGCGTGTTCCCATGGTGGTCTCTACGACACGTCCTGGACCGAGGTCGCCACCGGAGGCATCAACAAGGAATCCTCGGATCCACGCCAATCTCCGCACTACACCCTCCACAAACAGGCCGCGCTGACGGCAATACGAGCCACCGAGGACTTCTTCTTCCACCCAGGTATACCCAGGGGTGTGGTCCAAAGCTAGGGGTGGGGACATTGGGGAGGTGGACTATTACAAGAGGTGTAATCAGATAAAAAGGGGGATTGTTCTAATGATAGAGGTGTGATAAAATACAAGGCAGTGTAGTCAATTAAGACAGGGCAGGCGCGGTTCTAGAGCCTATCTTTTAGGGGGGCTGGCAGGGGTGGATCCAGATTTATTTTTTTTCCCCGGTCACTTACGCCTCCGAAAATCAATAAGTTGGGGGGGGGGGGGGGGGGGCTCGTTCCCTATTTTCAATGTGGAGTGCTGACAACATCCTACAATCATGAACACTATCCTACATATAGCCATTTCTATTTTTAATGGATTTTTTTTGGGGGGGGTAGACAAAATTGGGGGGGCTAAAGCCTTCCCTAGCCCCCCCCCCCCCCCATAGAATCGCGCCTGAAACAGGGTGTGCTTCGATCAAAGGGATGTGGTGAAATAAAAGGGATTGTCCAAAAAGGAGTGTTTTCAAATAAAAGGGTTGTTGACCGATATTAAGGGGGCATGGCCAATCAAAGAGGTAATAAATAGGGGCGTGGCAGTGGGCAGAAAACATGTCCAGAGAAAGTGGGTGTGGTCAAATACAAACTCATTCAAGAGATATTCGGTGAGTAAAAATATACAGGGTGAGTAAAAAAAAACCCGAAACCCAAATGTCGGGACCATTGTTTAAGTGAAGTTCTGCATGTAGCACTTTCAAAATCTAGAATGTGAAAGCCCAATTCATAAGCTTTCTTTTAGTACAAGAATCATTCAAATCAATTATGTACTTTTGAAGTTACGAAATTTTAAACACTACCACCGTTTTATAGTTCTGTCCACGGATCAACAGAAGGTAAGTGTTCTTTCAGCAAAAAGATAACAGGTGTGGGTGGGTGTGAGTTTGTGTTACATACCCTATGTGGACTTGTGAACAAAAGAGGTCCACATAATGCAGGTTGTGTTAACCTTATGTGGACTAAGCCGTGTCCACATAAGGTTTTGCCCTTTCTGGAAAACAGGTTTAGAGGCATTTTTGGGTTAGGTTTATCCGTAGCAGAATGTAGAGAAACACTATAGGGAATCATAGAAAAAAAATTGGGTTAAAAGAGTTTTCACAGTTTAAGTAATGTTACTTTTTGTACCGAGTTTTCTTAACTACACGAAAACAAAGCAATGTCCACACAAGGTATGTAACGTAAACATGGGTGGGTGTGACTACAAATTTGTATCCTTGTGGAGACACACACACAATAGGAAACAAAACATTGTAAAGGTCTCCACAGGGCAATTTCTATAGATGAATAGGTCTCCACAAGGTTTTCACGAAATAGATATATGGGTTTTACTCAAAAACTTAGGAATTTCCAAGGTGGGTTGATCCGTCGCAAATGGAAGAGTTTTAGAAAAGGGATATTAAGTCCAAATTTCAGCCCAGGAAACTAATTCTGGTTAAAATAAGAGCATTTTGAAACTTCACTTTCAAAATTGAACACTTTACTACACGAGAACAAAGGAATGTCTCCACAAGGATACAAATTTGAGAATGAGTGTGTGTGTGTGTGTGAATTGTTTCGTTTTGCTGAAGGAACGCACACCTTTTTTTGTGATCTGTGGAACAGAACTTTAAAACGGTGGTTGTGTTTAAAATTCCGTAACTTCAAAAGTACATGAGTGATTGGAATGTTCTTGTACTAAAAAGAAAGCTTACGAATTGGGCTTTCTTATCCTAGATTTTATGCTAAATGCAGAACTTCACTAAAAACAGAAGTCCCGACATTTGGGTTTCGCTTTTTTTTTACTCACCCTGTATATTCTTATTTCCAGACAGATTTCCAGCAATCCTGGATTGCAGTGTATTTCAAACAAAATTGTGTTTTTTCAAGAAACGGAGTGAGGTCAAATTTAGGCTGTATCTTACTTTGACTTTATATCAGCGCGAAGCAACTTTTGACTTTTGGCTTATTACAAACGACGTGACCAAGTGCTTGGTTAAATTCGGTGCGTGTACAAAATTTAGGAATATTCTTCACCAAAGTTGGAGTCAAAGTGGGTTCAGCTGTGACATATGTAGTGTCAGGGTGTGGTTTGCATATTTTGGTGGTTGCACCAGAAAACTGGGCGTGGACAAAATATTACGAGTTGCTGAAGAAGGGAAAAAACGACCCCCCCCCTCCAAAAAAAAACACCCACTGCTTTACCAAGATTGGGCTTTGTTTGCCTTGGAAAGAAATAAACTCATGACAGATGTACAAAATCAAGACCAGTAAAAAGAAGACGATGACAGCAAGATAATGCAAGCTGTGGTATCAATACATTATGATATAACGTAATTGCAAGTTTGGGAAGAGCTGCCATTTTTATTGCTGAACCAAAACCCTCAATTTGATTGACAATAAACTTGTTTTCCACCAGAAACTGGTCTGTACAGGCTCATTGGCGAGCAGAAATTCCGCAAGCTGCTGAACCTGGACGCAGGCACTTCGCTGACTTTCGTAATTGACGTTTCGGGAAGTATGTCCGATGACGTCGCTGCCGTGAAAGAGGAGACGATCCGCCTCGTGGGATTGCACGGAGAAACCTGCCTGGCGGCCTCCAAGTACGTCGTCGCACCGTTTAACGATCCAGGTTGGTGGAGCAGAAACCAAGTTTTTTTGGGTAATTTGTAAACCTGGGAGTTGGAACAACAACTGGATCACGCACAAGCAAAATGCAGCCAGTCATTGAACGAGTTATTGTCGATTTCTGAGGGTTTTCCTCACTTGGCATCCCGAAGTAAATGTTATTTAACAGTTCCGTTATAAACAATATTGTTATGCCTTTGTCTTAAGTACTGTATTGTTATTGGCCTAGAACGATAACGTGTTAAGTTTATAAAAAGTCATGGCATGATGGCACACTCCTGATCACGTACCTAATAAACGCTTGTATCGTTGGTACCCATGCTATTTTCACGATGTTTTCACACATGAGTGGGAGCAGCGAACTAGCAGACGATCAGCTGTTTTGAGCATGTGAGTTGACGTTCGATTTTCATTATTGTAGTGTTTACTGCTGTTTGTTTTCGTGATTTTTACATCAAAGTCCAAAGAATGTAAGGCCGAGGGGCGCATGGTACCGTCAGCTTCGTCTCGGGGTGCTATTCGCCACTCGGGTGTTCACGTCATATCCCACACCACACCAGTCAACACTTGTTAAATGTCCAACAGCAGAAATATCTGTTTCCACGTATAGGCGCGCCTCATCGTTCAGTGCGAATGGCTGGATCCGGTCCTATCTGTGCATGACACGTAATAAATCCAGTCCAGTCGTAATAAATCCAAACATGTCCAGTCAAGACGCAAGCAGTTTTAATGCGTCGTTTTATTTGCATAGCCCTTATTACTCACCCCGTCAACTCCGAGATTTATTACCGGTATCTTAACTTGTTTATTGTTTCAATATGCCAACTTATCCAAACTTAAAAGTTGTAATTGCACTCCTGCAAGCATGGGAGTCGCGAGGGGGGGGGGGCAAGGGGGGGCACTTGCCCTCCCCCCCCCCCCCCGGAAAAGCAAAAAAAAAAAAAAAAAAAAAAGAAGAAGAAAAAAGAAAAAGAAAAGAAAAGAAAAAGAGGCGCGAAGACAAAGTGGTGTAAATTTAATGACATGGGGGGGGGGCAAAATGTCCCTGCCCCCCTCTAAAACTGATAAATCGAGAATGTGTTGAGAAATACAAGCATTTTTTGGCAAAAATATTTTTTGCCCCCCTCTAGAAAAAATCCTGGCGACGCCCATGCCTGCAAGGGTCATACTAATTGCAAATATACTCATTTTTATGCGGGACAGATTACGGACCGGTCTTTGTAACCACTGATGCTCAGAGGTGTGTGGAGTACATCAACGAGCTAACTGCCAACGGCGGTGGTGACTGTCCGGAGTTGGCGAACAGCGGCTTGGAACTTGGTGTCCAGAACAGGTTTAGAATCCAACCCCTCCGTGTATTAAACGGTAGTCATAAATACCTAAGACAGTTTACCCACTCCTATTGCTCGAGAGCCCGTCACGTGGCCAGTTTTAAACGGTTGGTAAAGACCGGCTGGTGGCTAGTCTTAAACACTTTTCCAATTTCACATAAAATGTGGACTCTAATCGGTCTTAAACATATAGTTTTAAAAAACCGGCCAAGCACACATGTGTTCCCTTAACAAAACGCGGTTTTATCAATTAGTTTTTTGGTTTTGGTTTGGAACGGTTGTGCGACCCCAGCGGGGAACGTGTATCATTTCCTTCATTGACAGCAGCGGCGCGCACACATCGCTGGCAAGCAAACCCATTGTATATTGTATACATCGTTGTCCGTGCACACACCCTTTACACAAGGAGCCTACACACAGAGCTAGATTCGCTCTAACCCCCCCCCCCCCCCCCCCCCCCGCCCGGCAAACAGGGCGCTGGGAAGGGCTGATGAGCTTCACAGAATCTTGTGAAGGAAATTGGGATGGCATCTGGGTAGTTTATCATGACCTATGTATAAAGCATCTGGCTGCAGCTGTAGACCCCCGTCTTACTAATGGAGATCACTGTAGACCGCGGTAAGCCAATGCGCGCAAATCCCAAAAGTTTGCCATAGAAACACATACACACCAAACCGGATGTGATTTCTTTTTCATTGCGGACCATGCGGACAAATTTTGAGCGTCGAATGATATGTATTTCGAGCCTTCGTGAATTCGAAACGGAGCCTGAGCAACTGACGGGGGTTAAAAATTTAAAAACAGAAAAGTTTTACAGATTTTCCTACATTGTTATGCTTTTCAACCAAAAAAGGGGCGTCGCATTTATGAATGGGAATACAAGAGCGATGAATGACTCAGTCTTAACGGCCATTTCAAACCTTGCAGGGTCGTGGTCGTGATGACTTGCAGGTCACAGGTCACGCAAAATCTATCCAATCAGAGCGTTTATTCGTCTGCCCTTCCCAGGGTCCTGTTTGGAGGCGGGGGTACGAGCGAAAGAGCTAGATAGCTACCGTAGCTACAGCGCGCCGGGCCCTGCATGTTTTTCGAAACGGCGCGATATCGTATTGCAATGCTCAACGGTTGACAAAACACACGGGGTTTTTCGAAACCTTGGCTTCGTCTTCGGCTACGGCTTTTCCTCTGAATTCTAAACCACTGAGATGCCAACCAAACGGAATTTTCCAACTCTTGGTTTCGTATCAACCGACTGATAGTTCTTGAAACATTAACAGGCACCACCAAGAGTCCACGAAGTTGCCTGCCGGCGGCCTTAATTTTTCTTAATACAAAGCCAGAGTTTTGGAAAGGCCCATAGACAGTCACCACGCAAACACGCCGAGCCAGTCGAATTCCTAGTTACGAACAACGTTATCGCTCACTCGTTGAGCCAGGCACCAGACTGTCATACACCCAAACAAACGTTGGAGACAAACCATTTTGAATTTGGTTTTCGCGATATCATGTTGAACTGAGCGATTTCCTTCAAACGACTCTGGAGTAAAGATGAGACCTTTGATAAATCTTTCAAGGAATAAAAACGAAATCTTAAAAAAGCGTTTCCACAAAAAAGATCATTTTTGTGTAGGGGTTATAGGGGCGTCATTGAAGGTGCTACTATACACGGTAAGTGCATTTCCCACGTGTCGGCGTACGGGATTCACTGCGGCGCGATGGCACGAAGCAACTATACAGATTCTTTTCTAGAATTGCTCTTTCAATACTAGACTAATATAAACATTCGGTATAGAACAATTGCTTGAATTATGCCTGTAGAAGCAAGAAAGCATACAAATAACGACTTTCAAAGGGATATTTCTATTATCACCATTTTGCACACCCCTGTTTTACGAATGGAAGAGGCACACAGACCATCGTTCTCGCTCTTATCAGGCTTCACCCCCCCCCCCCCCCCCGGTCACCGTGTGGAATCCCGCAGCCGCGCTTCAAACTGTAAGTAAAACATTGTGGTGCCTTATGCAAAAGAATTGCTGTGTGACGCGCTTTTTTGACTGTTTTCCTAACATGCATTGTAAAAATAACCTTTTTATGGTAACATTTAACCGGTTGCAGTATCAATGGAGCCAATGTGTACGTGTTCACAGACGCCACCGATAAGGACAGCGAGAAGGTGCCGGATGTCTTGGCTCTAATTGAGCAGAAGGAGGTCCGTGTCATCTATCTCTTAACCGGTACTTGCTCCTCCAGACGACGCAAACGAGGTGAGATTAGGCCATAGACATGTTGCAAACACCTAGACTGGCCATTCGCCCAAAATTTACGTTATCGAACGCTACCGCCATTTTGCGCGAACGCTCATCAAAGGCGCACGAACGCGCAAGAAGACGGTCGCACGACGAAGGATCGGACTTCTTTAGTCGTCACTAAAGAGGATACATAGGCCGGAATTACTTGGCTGCAGGGGTGTAAATCCTGGGGGGGGGGTATATATATCCCCCCTTTAAGACCAGGGGGATGGGCTATTGAATCATCCCCACAGTTTTTCGTGATGAGAAAAAAAATTGTGGATTTTAAGGTATATTTCCAACATCGCAACAACCAAAATGTATTCAATAACATTGAAAAGTGGACAAAGTACAAAAGCTTTTAAAATGCGCTGTTTTGATGTGAGCGCGAGTATACAATGTTGACATACATGTACATCTATATCCTGAAGAGCGTACCCTAGTGTAATGATGTGTCCATTAAGTGTTCCGTAGGCCCTAGGCACCAGTGTTCCGTAGGCCCTAGGTACCCTATACACCAGCACTAATTTCATGTTGATGCTAAGCTATACTAAGCAATCCAGGCCACACTGTGATATTTTCGTAGGCCCCCGAATTTTTCGAAGGCCAGCACAGTGCTGGATAATCCAGGCCTGACACAAGGAGATAAGAGTGCTACTTCGTGAAAACGTTTTGCTCGCATTTGAGTACTGTGCGCGCCATGCATTACAATGGTAAATGGAACTTGAGTACTACTTCGTGAAAACAAAAATTGTCACTTTCGTGCAAAAGTTGCCATGGATAATTAGCGTAATTATTACAGTAAAGCTCTTGAAGCTTTGAAACTTCGTGCAATGGTAGGCCTTGATGAATAATGTTTAAAAATGTAAAAAAAAAAATTGAAAAATGAAAAAATGAAAACCGACAAAATATGGTTTTACACACGACGGAGTGCTACTTCGTGGTGTCGGTGATGGTATGTTGAAATTGCTTTGCTATGGCAGCGACAATATCGAAGACGGAGAATTCAACTCAGCAGCTAGATTTTGTTTTAACGGAGATCAACGACAGGTGCACGCGATGCTTCCTTCGTAAGTTGAGGTGGCCATACTTACGAAGGAAGCATCGCATGCACTTCACAACACTATACTATTCGTTGATTGAAGAGCAGTTTCTTACCATACTACTCAAAATGACAACTTGTCCTGATGCCAGCTCATTTGTTTATCAATGTTTCCACAGCGATTGATATATCGAGTGTGTCGCCGTCCTATGTAAGTATCGCCGCCGCATCAGGCGGGGAGATTTACCGGACAGACAAGAGTGGGATCCGCGAACTGACACAAATTATAGAAGGCGACATCCGAGCCTCTCAGGTATTATTTTAGACTTTAGAGGGTGGTATTTTTTTTTGAAATAGTTTAGGCAGATTGATGCCTGTCCGGAACAATTTTTTGTGAATATACTCTGGAATTTCGTGGTATAAGAGTAGTCCCATTACAAACAAGTATTTCCTTTTTGTATTTTCTGAACCATACCTCGAAACTGTAAGTTGCTTTTACATAGAGTGGGGATGAACCCCCCCCCCCCCCCGATCCGCGCCTGATGAATACAGAAATGAAACACTTAACGACAAGACCATGGGGTCGAATGTTTACTGAAGTTTAAATGAAAATCAAAACCTTTTCCTTCGCACACCAGGTGAAAATAATCCAGAGGACTTCAAGGGGCCATAGTGCTTTGGATGTGGACATACCCGTCGATTCCACCATGAGGGAGCTCCTGGTGTCTGTTGTCGGGTCGCTGTCGAGTAACACCGTGATCATCATGAAACCCAATGGTATCGAACAGGTTCTTTTAAAATGTCTTGATACAGTTTGTCAAGGAAAGTATAAGAAATGAACTAAAAGTGTGATGCATGTTTCGCTAGAACACCGTGCAAGAACAGTAAACACTTTCATTTTCAGTGAACTACGGTGCAGGGAACTACTTTACAATGATGGTTGAATTCAGCACTGCATTCGTTATTAATTGCAAGATCTAGCATACACGTAGGACTGTGAACGGGATTTACCCGATGTTCCCCGCTACCGATGTTCCCCGCTACCGATGTTCCCCCAAATCCTTAGGATTAGGGTTAGGGTTAGGGTTAGGGTTAGGGCTAGGGTTAGGGTTAGGGTTAAGGTTATATTGGTAGGGATTTCGGGGAACATCGGTATTGGGGGACATAGGTATGCACCCCCTGTGAACAACATTACGTTATAATTTAAAGAGGTTGTGGAATGGTTGAGGACATTTCCGTCATTTTCCGGGTATATGTAGCCTAAGGTGTGATGAAATAAAAACGACTATTGTGTCTGTCATGAAATGAGTACAAAAAGGTACTTTTGAGAGCTGTTTTTCAGGTCCTGTTTCGACCCAAACGTGTAATTTGTGTAAAAGTCGTCGTTGGGGCAGCAAACAAAACATAGTAAATCGTGAAGTAATAAACATGACTCCCAAAGCAGCGTAGTATAAACGTGTCCTGTTTATTACGTCACGATTTACTATGTTTTGTTTGCTGCCCCCTTTCTTTGCTGCCTGCTCTAGAAAACACCCATGATACCAATATTTGGAGCTTTTAAGGGGGAGGGGGGGCCACCAGATGGCAAACTATATATACTTTTGTTCAATTCAAGATTTTAATTGGGGGCTGGGCACCCGGGGGAACGGACATCCACTGGGAGGCATGTGCCCCCGTGATGCCCCCTATTTACGCTACCGGCTAAGCATGGAAATATTTACTGCTTAACATCTCCATGAAATTATGCTTGATAACACTATTCTTCATGGCTCTGGTAACCACGGATTCTTTGCTTACCCAGCCGTGTGGTTGCGAAGGCCTAAGCGTCGCCGTTGTAAACAACGTTAATCCCATTACGTACTTGGTTGCTATAACAGAACAGTGAAATTCATGCACACCCCCCCCCCCCCCAATAAAAAATGGCCTTTTGAACGTTGTGTTTCTCAGAAAATATGCTCAGGTTGATTGAAATGTTAAATTATAACGGAAGAAGAAATTCTAAACTTCATGTCAGTGAAAAAAATCGCCGTCATCGATGCTGAAACGTCAATTCTAGTTACTGGTAAAGCTGACCTTAAAGTCGATAAGAAATCGTTCGAAAACGTCACCAAATTATGATGTATTTATCTCGATTTCTAGGAATCCCCTCTAGTTAAAATTCCACGAGCAGTTGAACACATATATCATCTAAGTATATTCCGAATTTCAGCTTAATCTGTTGTTGCAAACGCTCTTGTGTTACACCTTGAAACTATCCGCAAGGTAAATTTCGACGAGGATTTTTTTGCTGACCAAATTAACTCACGTGCATGGTTTTTAGGTTGGCTGACTTTGGGGCAACAATGACGGAGCGCATATTAGCATATTTATTAGCGTCACTCGGCGTTACTTCGCGTGGGTCTCGGTATCGACCAACGGAAGCCGACAAAAAGGGTGATACATTTGTATTTATAATTAATAACTCGTGAACGAGGCTATTCTGCCAGTATTTACTGCACACCATAATGAATAGGAACCTTATTAATATTCGTGAGGCTTGAAAAGATTTACCGATATTGCAAACACCAGTGTTACAACTTTTTAAAATGCACCTAGCCAGGCCTATTTTTGCAATTTCAACGAAAAGTACTGAACATATCAAAACGATTTTAAGCACATAGCTGGATCATTATCAAGGAAACAAACCCTGAAAGTTGCATGAAGATACGATCTGCCAAACGAGAGGAATGATTTCCAAAGATTTCGCCCGCCAACGTGAACATGTCAGTGTGCATGTTATTTCATTCAAAATTAAGTATGACGTACCCTTTATAAATCGGCCTTCGCAACCATGCGGCTGTACTTATCACCATTCTGTGCTAACAGCACTAGCGGAGAAAAACATCTGCGCTAACCCTGTAAGCTCAGAATCATTACATTAGCGATAACGTTTCGCTTACTGTAAACACACACTCATAACATTGGCCCCCGGTTTTCTTGTTCAAGGTATGGAAGGTACCCCGAGCGAGATGGGGGCAAACGTTTACACCAGTTCGGACGTACAGCTCGTGTTCAGCATCAACGTTACCGAGCCGAACGCCAAGGGCAACTGGCTGCTAAAACTACGAGGATTGGATTTGTCAACGGAGTACAGCGTCAAAGTGTCAGCAAACAGCCATCTGGATTTCACCTTCGATATTCTGGAAACGGACGCAACAGGCACTGCGTTTCCCATAGACGGGAAACCAGTTGGGGGTGAGCGAAGGATAACTCTCTGTATTATTATTTCTTTCTTTCTGGTAATGAAACAAGGATTCATCCAAAGTGTCCTAGGCACTGTAACTCGAAAACCTGTATAGAGAGGAGACAATGAATGTCTTGTCTCCGAACGATTCAGGGGGTTTATTCACTGCTGTACAGCCGGGGCGAATTAATATATGCTCCATTTCTCATATTTCTCTTTGATAATGACAACATGTTCATTTTTTTAAAAATATGTTTACAAACACAGACGTTTCGGTTAAGTTTTAAATGTAATCAAATAAATAGTATTGATAGTACATTTGTAATTGTTATTGGTATATTTCACCCGACCGGCCGTGAATAAGAACGTCTCCTGTAACCCTTTCAATTCAAAGGAGCTGAGGTGTTGCTCATGATCCAAGTGTCAGCTCCGGACACCGCGTCCTCCGTCAGCGAGATACGACTGCACAACTCCGCGGGTGACGCAACGCTCCTGACGGCGAGTGCTGAGCCAGTGACCGGTAGGACGGAAGGGATATTCACGGCGAGTCTTATTCTCCCCACTGAGGTAAGTTGTTTATTTTCAGCTCGCATTGATCAATAAATTAACCGTCTAAGGCATCAATCCTTTTATAGGTAAAAAAAAGTATTGTGAAGGAAGGGCGCGCTGACACAGTTTAAAATGCATACTATTTTCCCTGCTTGAACTTGTTTGTGCTCTGTAAACATGAACTCTCTTATTAATTCAACATTTTAGATGAGCAACCCCATCTAAAAAGAAAATTCAAAATCAAGAGAGAAAATGCTTCCCTAGACTTTTTCGACTTCAGAGAAAACCTACAAATATGTATGTCATCAAACTGGAACCGATGTTGAGATTATATATTCAAGTGTGTTTGACATGGTTAAAGATTTGTTAATAATTTTATTACAACTTGGCCTTTCAAAGTATGGAACAATTCATTGCTTGTCCCTTTTTTTTTGGTTCAGATAGTTTGTGATTTCCTTAGCGCAGGTGTGTGAACTTTTTTCTTCAGCCTTTTTTTGTCAGCATTGTCGGACGGGACACTCAGGGCAGGGAATTTCTCCGCACCCAGCCGTCTGAGATCACAGTCGTGAAATTCAAACTGGAGCAACTTCCCAGTAACAACACTATAGGTTAGTGACTTCTTGGAGTTTCATTTGAGAATGAAAAAGAAAACACAACCCAAAGCTGATTGGGAGATATACATGTACAAGTCTGTGTATAGAAACTGGCATGTTTGTCTGCAGCTATACAGTATACGGTTATCTACGGGAGCTTAGAGGGGCCACAAGCAATTAAAAAATAAAATCAAAATTGATATCTTGAAAAAAAATTGAGGGTACTTCAGATAGTTGTGTAAAAAAAAAAAAATCGCCTTCCGCCCCCCTCCCCCCCCCCTCCCAACGAGTGAGTAACTTGTGAGCTTCCAACCCGCCGCGGCGAAATATTAATTCAACGCAGTGAGATACCAATTTCGATTTGGTTTTTTTTTTATTATTGTTTGTGATCCTTCTACTTCCTAACAACTTCCGTATTTATCTACTGTAGAGTTTTCTATGATGGTCTTGAAGGGACATCGCAAATGGCGAATATTGGTGTAAATAGTTACGACAAAAATTCACGACGTGCCCCGAATCGCGAATATTGGTGTAAATTTTCACGACAAGAATTTCACTTATCGCTCTACGGTCGCAAATATTGACGGCAACATTCGCGTCGAAAATTCCACGTCTCGCCCTCCGGTCGCAAGTACCGAGCTTGCTGGAAACAAAATGTCCTTAAAAATTTGCTACCCAGAACAAGTCGTGAACTTTTTGACTCGAATATTGACGTCAATATTTGCGACCGGAGAGCGAGACGTGACACTTTTGGCGCGAATGTTGACGCAAATATTTGCGATGTCCCTTTAAAGCCACCATAGTTTTTACGGTTAAAAAAAACCCTGATGATATCATGCATGTCGCTCCTTGCACGGAACGCCATGCAGAATCGAAGCAAGCAAGGTCGCACTTGCAAATACATTAGACTCTTTTGCGTCATTATGTTGCTGAACTGTTCATTGGACTAAAGCTTACTAAAGTGCAGACTCGTGAAATAACTCTAAGTAGGACTCTACGCGAGTAGAGTCCTACTAATCACATTTAGTTTTTATATTCAATTCGTGGTTTCATCCAAAACCCATACAGAGGACCTTGTCCCTGGAGGTAACGGGACTTTTGGCTTCCGAGTCACCAACGATGGCCCGGCGGACACGCTGAACATTTCCGTGTCGGTGCTGAACAGGACGTTGTCGTCAGCCGTCACGGGCTCGTTGGTCACCGCCCAGGTGTCACCGACCAGTATGGTGCTTGCTACGGGGCAGACCAGGGAGGGACTGGTGACAGTCACCGCTACCCGGGACGTACCTGCTGGCACACCCGTGTAGGTGCTCGAAGGGGGGGGGGGTCTCCAATATTCGGTGTTGTCTCTGCTTTCGACTGCAAGACATCCGGGTCCCTTGATCATCAAACATGACTTAATCATCGATTCCTTACAGCCGATTCGTATAGGTTTCACTTTAGCGTTACCTTCACGCAGGGGTAATTCTACAAAGTCAATGAGATAGGGTTGGGGTCGTTGGGGAACAATTTCCAAAAAACCTCAAGCCTGTAGGCCCACCCCATTGCTTAAAGTGCCCTTCTTCAGTGAGTGTTTTCCCTGCAAATTTGAGCACATTTTAAAGCAAATCTTAAAAGACTTTTAAATGGTCCTGTAAATTTTGGTATAGGTCCCCAACTTAATTTATACACAAACGTATTTATATGGTCCATTTTTGTTTCAGAATAACATGTCTTTGCTTTAAATTAAATACATCGAATGCTTGTCGATATTTAAAGGATTGGTTCGTACTGACCTGATGGTCATTTTGTGTTTGTTTTCCCAGCAAAGTGACACTTTTTGTCACGAGCTCGCTGTCTTCGTCCCGTAATTTCCTGTTCATTGAAGCCACAGTGTTTGCAGTACAGGATGAAGTAGATGTAAGTACATTCATCGGCTGTTAGGATAAGGGCATATCCTGCTGCACATCATCACCTGAACCCAATTTACTAGAGATGTGCGCAATTGGTTTTTTTTGCAAAGCAAAATCAAGTTAAGGACCATTCTATTGGCAGGAAATTTGGTCTGGAAATTTGGTCTGGTTACCGGTTTCTGCTACGCAAATGTTTCCTCGTCCATCATAGCACTTTCATAAAAATGCCCCTAAAATATAGCCTATTTAGCGCAAAGAATATTCAGTTATGAGTAAACAACATTAATCTTCTATCCCTTAAATTCTATAGGAAAATCCAGACAAAAACGATCACATTGCGCCGACCTGCAGCATTCTAAGTTCTGGCGGTGGCTGCACGGTGGATCAGATGGGACGTGACTGCCAACAGCACACATGGTGGGTGCGCGCCCGTGCCATGGACGACGCCATCGTGACTGAGGTAGTGCTGGACCCTGAGATCGAGAGCGGCGGTACAGGCAAACAGTCTCTCGTCTATGAGAACTTTACAGCTGACGATGTGACCTTCCTGTACAGGTAGGTTTGACAGGTAATAACGTACCAATTGACGTGTCTGTGCGTGCGTGGGTTCAAGAGTCTGTTGTTCACGGTCAGGGTTGATCGCCCACAACGCTGCGATTCGCCCACCAAAAGCCCCTGTCACATAGTAGTGAATAGAACTAACTTATGCCTAGCGTACTGATTTTTTCTCTCGAAATTTGGCAAAGTCCAGATACGCTCAAATTCTCGGCCAAAATCTGGGTGTTTTTTTTAGCGAACTCCTGAAGTATAAGACGAATGCCCAACGAATGAGGAACGGATGCTGAGCGTATAACTAGCGTCCATAGTATACAAATGACGAATGTTTGTGAGTGCGATGGTAAGAATAATTTCATGAGGTGACAGATTGAATGTTCTATTCCACGAGGCGAAGCCGAGTGGAATAGAACATTCAATCTGTCACCGAATGAAATTATTCTTTCCATCGCACGAACGTAAAACATTCGTTATTTGTTTTATACAACACCTGAATAAATTCTCGTCATTTGATTGGTAAATTATAAACTACAATTTATTTTGATTTTAAAGATGTTGAACTACCCCTACACGAAATGTTTGAACCCAACGCTGTAGCGCTGGCTCTTTGGAACAATACGCGCTACGCTGAACGCGCACACCAGCATGCATTTTGCACGCAAATACCGCGTCATGGAACAAGCGCAAAGTGAAACGGTATAAACGCATGGGTATAACGCATGGTCGCACCGTGCATTATACCGAATAATAATATGTCACGTGATCTGCAATTCACCAATCAGATGACGGGGATTTATTCAGGTGTTGTATAATAACGAATAACAACACATGCGTAGCGTCCATCCAACGAATGCTGGACGTACGCAACGAACGGCCAACGTATGCCTAGCGTGCTGCAGCCGGTCAAGTGACGTGTCTCTGCTGACCCATAAATACGCTCTCCAAGTCCACGTCGTCACATTCGTTAAGCCCCTGTCACACCTTTGCGTATCCTAACTCCTTATGAGTTCCTTATCCAAATTTTTCAATACGCAGCCGTACGATCAAAAACGTCAAAATTTTTTGATTACTTTGACTTATGTGCGACGCACATCTAGCGAACAAGTAACGAATTCAGCGCATCCACTGTGTATGAGATGCGTATGAGTTGCGTATGCAGTGCGCAAGTTCGCTATTTGTGCGTTTCTCATAAGTTACGAATAAGTACAATGCGCTGCCTGCTCGCAGGACGAGCGGTACTAATTCGTGCAATACGTCAGCATTCGATATGAGTTCGTTCAGCGGGCATAGAGGTCAGCGTATTACCGCGTATGAACGGCTTATCCCCCTTGAACACATAGCATACTCGTACCGCGCTCGACCGATGCGGGACCGATACGCTGCGTATTTATAACTTATGACCTGCGTAACAGCGTACGCAGCGTAGTTTTGTGCATTCCCAAAACTATCCAGCGTACTGGGCCGTACCATGCGTATGCCTGCGTACATAAAACTTACACAAAACGATAGACATGCATATGAGGTGTGTATTGTGCGTAAGACTGCGTATGAAAAAATGTCAATGCGCACCTCATAAGGAATTAGGATACGTAGAAGTGTGACAGGGCCCTTAGCCATTCGTTAAGCCCGGTTTATACTCTGCGCGAAAGCGAAAGCGAACGCGAATTTGTGACGTCGTGGCAAAAATTTAACATATTTCAACTCGGGCGAATTTCGCAGCAAATGTTTTATGATGTCAAATTCGCTTCGCATTCGCTTTCGCATGAAGTATGAACCGAGCTTCTGACAAACTCTATGTTTACGCTGGGCATTCGCTATTATGACAAAGATCCTTGGGTTGGACGTATATGTCCGAACAGCTGACGAAGAACCAACCTACGCCCGAAGTGCGAAACGTTCACACAGCGAATGCTCAACGTATACATAGCGTATTGATCACTACGTTGTCGACCGCTCAAAATTTTGAATGTGCTCAAAATTTGTCCTAGACCCCAGCGCACCTTTTCGAACCCTTGCGAACTTTTAAAGAATACAACTTATGCCAAACGTGTCACTAACGAATGACAACTTATTACACGAACGTACACCTAGATTTCCAAAAACGTCAGGCACACGTTAGCTCTATTCGCAACAGTGTGACAGGGCCTTGTAACCTCCTGCCCCAGTTGACGCGAAGCCTCGTCACTCCACTCAGTCGTGTTTTACTATACTCATTGAGGACCCTCCATTGTTCCCTTCTCATTGAGGACCTTCCATTGTTCCCTTCTCATTGAGGACCCTCCATTGTTCCCTTCTTTTGTTCCCTTTGTTTGTACTTTCAACTTTTTCTCGACAGCTCCCATAACGTTTGTACACGAAAAGCTCCCGAGGACTGGTCCAACGTCCTCGGGGTTATTATTATCGCACACACCCCATTGTCTCAAGCCCTCAGTCGTATAGCATGACCTGCTGTACACTCTGCGCTTTACACAGCATAGCGGTAATATTGCACAAAGAAATGACCGGAGCAGTACTCGAAACAGTGACCTCCGAAACACTGTTCCGGCGTTTTACCGAAAGTCGGAGGTTCGAGTCTCAATACAGCTCAATTTAAAGACAAAGCTATATCTCGAGAAATTCTATAAATGATGATTCTTGATTTAAACATAATCATTTTGCGTAATTTTGTTGAAGTGCCAGCTGTTGTTGTCCTATGGTCCAATTCACCGTCCGTGATGGGGCCAGCAACAATGTTTCGTGTGGGGTGGATCACTACACCAAGATATCTGGACAAATAGATGAACCTGTCAGCAACGGACTGGTAAGTCTAACAAATTATTCAAAAGCGGGGGGGGGGGGGGAGTGGCGGGAATAAGTGATCCAACCCAACAACATTTCTTAGAAGTTGACAGAGCTACTTCACATTCACAAGCTTGTCAACAGAAACAGAACAAATTGTCACCCGAAATAATGTCCATATTAATCACGATGTCAAATGCTCTATATATAGCACAATAGTTTTTGTTTTCCCTGTAGATGCACATCCCTCTTGGTCTGAGTACCTGCATGATCGGCGTTATAGCTGCAGCGGTCATCGTTGCGACGTTGATCATAGCGGGCGTCCTCAGGTCTAGAGCCTATATATAGAGGCACTCTCCTACAAGAATCTGCAGCACAAAGTCGTCGACACGGAAAACGATTACACGAATTACGTTTAATTGAACCGAATGCGTACTGGGATAGCTTGTCCCTAGCCTAGAATGACTTGTGATTGAATTGAACCGGTTGACATTTTGAGTTGATTCGTATTACACTTTGCAAACTCACCCCAAAACAAACTTCTTCACATTTTGAGTATAAATTAACAGCTGGCCAATCAGCAAAATAATCATATGGCAAACTTAGTCGTTCTTAGAATTTTGAAAGTCTTACGGAAGGCAACTTTGATGAATCATATCTTTAAACTAGATTCTAAAGATACAAGTAGCTCCACAAAGAACGATTAGAAATTTGCTAAATTGACCGCTACGTATACCAAGGCGCGGTTCTACGGGGGGGTTAAGGGGGCTTAGCCCCCCCCCCCCCATTTTTTTTTTTTTTTTTTAGCCCCCCCAAAAATAAATTCCGTAGAAAGAAATCGCATCAGCAAAAAGAAGGATTGTGATGTCCATGCGAACGGTCTGCCCCTAAAGAAATAGTCGTGACATGGGTGCACCATGTCGCCGCACCACTTTTTGGGCAAGCTCCATACCAGAAACCGGAGATTTTTTTTTTGGCCTAATATAGTGTGAATGATTTTAGGATTTTATTGGCGCTTCCCATTGAAAATATGGCATGAGTCCCCCCCCCCCCCCCCCCTCCCCACCTATTGATTTTCGGAGGCCTAAGTGTCTGGAGAAAATAACCGGTCTACATTTCTGCACGCCTCCCTGAAAAAATTCTGGATCCACCCTGCTAGCCCCCCCAAAATATTGGTTCTACAACCGCGCCTGCGTATACCGCCCTCTACATACTGACCAAACCATTAGACATATTTTTGTTGTACGGCTAGATTCATTCAACTTGTTTTAACAGGTATAAACGATTGAAATATGTTTTTGCTTGCAAAAAAAGAAATAATGCTTGGACTGATTACCGAGCTGTTCTCTGAATTATTAAAAACTGTTTTCGACAAGTTTGTGTAGTTTTCTCCAAAAGGTTTTGCACGTAAACAAACTTATATGTTTAAGCTTAGATTTTGAAACAGGATCAGGCAATTTTTTCCGTGAACTTGATAAAAGCTAGAGTGCCCAAATAACTCGCACGCATACTCGTCAAAGATGTCTATTTCAAGGTAAAGGAGTGAAAAAAGTTGCAGATTTTTAAAGGGCCCTTTAATATAATAATTGAAAAGTACCTTTGTGTCCCATTTAACCGTATTTTCACATTTCATTTTGCCATTTTCAAGGGTATTTTGGTGCCTTTTCGGTTTTTAAGCAAATGAATCTTTCCGTTAATTCATGAGCAAAAGTATGATGTCATTTCAGGCGGAAACCTCAATGTAACAACTCAAAAAATTCAGCACACAAAGTTGCCGGAATTTGGGATATTTCGCTGTCGTTAACTCTTTTTTTTTAGCGACTCGTTGTTGTGTCGGTACATGACAGTACAGCCAATGAACAAACTTTTCTCACAAATATTTTTAATGAGTAAATTTGTGGGTTCACAATTTGAACAGAAAACACCTAAAATGAACAGTGTTTTCCTGAAATGACATCACAGCAACAGCTCCCTCATTTGTCCGGAAAAGCATGGATTTTGTTTAAAATGTTTAAAGAAGTGCTCTTTTTAACTAGATTAACCAAAAAGGGATGTCAAGTTGTTTTCATATACATTTAAGAGGAGAAGAAAGTTGCACAAAATATTTTCCCAAATAAAATTCATGTCATGGGCCCTTTAAGCTTTGATTTTGAAACAGGATAGTCAACTTTTTCGTGAACTAGATTAAAACCAGTGTGCCCAAATAACCCATGCACACTCATACTCACTCAAACAGAGTGTCTTGAACTTATTTAATGTAAGCCTCCTCAACAACGAACCCCGGAAAGGAAGTGAAACAAAGTTACAGATTTTTTAAATTACGCCGCCCTAAAAACCAGTTGCAATCCAACATGAGTGGCACTCTCGTCTTCTATATTGCTATTGACAAGTACGTTTCATTACTTTGGCTTGTATTATGCATGGCAAGTGTAAGGACGAAAAAAATTTACTCAGATTTATACCTTTTTGCAAACATTATTTTTATTTTATTCTTTTCTTTGTGTATTTGTTTTGTGTAAGCCTATAATATTTGACAAGGTAGATTGGGAATTGTCGGGTACATTCAGAATTGAACACTGAGTGCATATCAAGTGGAAAAAAGCAGATTGCATAATCCAAAGTCGGTTTTTATTTCGTCTTTGAAGTACTGACGTTTATTTTGGAGTCACTATATAGCAAAAGATGCGATGACTACAAACACCCACTTTTAAAAAAAAAAATAATAATGTTAAAGTTAACATTAATAATTAATGTTAAGTGTTTTGCTGCATTTACCCAGATGAAATCTATTCAATCGAGTGACATTCTGATAATTACATTCAGACGCCCACTCACCGATTGAAATCATGTTTGCTACTCAATATCGAATAAATATTAAAATGATGAAAGAATGAATCGTACTCGCCTATTTTTTATGCTTTATAACTGATGAAACGCTTCGGATGTCCTAGAAGCATACTATCTCACTGCTATCAAATAGTGAGATTGAATTCCAGAATCGGTATTTTCATAGCAGTTCATTCTTCGTTATTTTCCAGGGCTGCAAACCTCACTAGTTTTTACTAGTGAAGAAAATCCTTTATAAACAGACGTTTTTCTCTCTTATTCTATGATAAAAAATGGTTTGCCGCAACTATGATTTGATATTTTTTTAGCTTGATGCTCATTCCTTAAAAAGAAGACAGAATAAGAAACATACAGCAGCGATCAAAAGAAACAAATTGAGTGAGAGAGATACTTGATTAAAGAAAGTCCTCCTACCTAGGTTCATCACACGTCTAGATTTTCTTCTTTCTGGTAATTTCCAATGAAAACATGGCGCACAAAAGGTAATTGAAACGATTGAATGTGTACTCAATTTAACAAGGTGTGCATCGTAAAGCAGTGGCGCACTCGGGGGGGCGGGGCTTGAGCCCCCCCCCCCCGCCCCAAGAGGTTGTCATTTTTTTTTCATTTTTTTTTTTTTATTTTTTTTTTTTTTAGTCCCACGATTTGGCCTTGGTGATATAAATGTGGCCAGTTTTCGAGTAGTACAATAGGGGTGTAAGGGGCGCCACCAACGTCAAAATAGGCCGTCCCGCAAAAAAACCCAAATTTTTCTGCGGCCAAAAATTTGGGGCAAAATATTTTGGAAAAAAATTAAACTTTTAACAAATTTGTAAAAAAAAATTGAGCCCCCCCCCAAAAAAAACCAAATCCTGGATGCGCTACTGTCTTAAAGGTTTCGTATTTCAAACAAATTTTGTTTGGATCGACAATGTACATTGGTCGCCGACGTCGACGCATGGTATGTACGCAGTCGATCGCGAATAGTGTACAATAATGGCGGATCGTGCAGCAGAGCCAAAGGCTCTGCTGGCGGTCGCATTCGGCCAAAAAAAAGGGGGCGCCACCAACGTCAAAATAGGCCGTCCCGCAAAAAAAACAAATTTTTCTGCGGCCAAAAATTTTGGGCAAAATATTTTGGAAAAAAATTAAACTTTTAACAAATTTGTAAAAAAAAAATTGAGCCCCCCCCCCAACCAAATCCTGGATGCGCTACTGTCGTAAAGGTTTTGTATTTCAAACAAATTTTGTTTGGATCGACAATGTACATTGGTCGCCGACGTCGACGCGTGGTATGTACAGTACACGTACGCAGTCGATCGCGAATAGTGTACAATAATGGCGGATCGTGCAGCAGAGCCAAAGGCTCTGCTGGCGGTCGCATTTGGCCAAGAAAATGTCGCTGTTGTGTAATTTGTAACCGAGAGTTAAGAGATGTTGTGTAATTTGTCACCTGTAAGAGATACTCCACATTAAGTACCTTAGCCAAGAAGAACCAGCTATTTCGCCCCCCCCCCCTCCATTTTAATTCCTAAACTGGATCAGTGGATGACTCATGTAAATAACAATAGGGTTTGCTAATAAACACTTGCAAGTATTTACCAGCAGCCTTAGCCCCGTAAAAACAACAGAGGAGTGTATACAACAAAATGCATCGTAGATTGGAAAATAAGTATGGCCGCATCAATATTGCCGTGGCCATTCTTCAGTCCGATCCGTCAAAATCAGTGCAACAGGTACTGAGCTCGACGAATGCTTACCGCCGCGCCATTCATCAAAACTTTCCACCAGTAGCGTACGTATGATGTAGGCTATACTGCCACGTTTGCCTCAGAAAATATTGTTCTTTTTGCAACTTTTTCGAGAACCGCTAATCCAAACAACTTCAAATTTGGCACTGCACATTCTGTAGTCCCGAGCATTATACCCGCCGATTTTCAACTTCATACGGTGCCCGGTTATGGAGATAATCGACGTACAGACAGACAGACCCAGTCACACATGCACACACAGAGATTCCTGGAATTATAGTAAGGATACTTGTATAATAATGTAGGACAAAGTGTTAATATTGCAGTTTCAGCTAGAACGAAATAAGGTACAGTTTGTTTTGCAAATTGACCACGTTTCTTTAAATTCTTGATTTGTGTATTGTGCAATCGAATGAAATATTCTAAATGAAGTATGCAAACTTATTAAGGATATGATATTTTCGGTCAAACGTTTTACCGATTGTATGCTTCATTTTGAAAAAAAACCTAACATTGAAGAATTTACAAGCTCTAATCCAAGATGTTATGCATTTTTTTTTGTATTTTTTGGTGACAATGACTTGAAATTGCATTTTGATGCAACAATTTTTTTTACCAACTTGAGGTGTTTTTTTCAGATAACTGCAAAAACATGCTGTGATTTACAAAAATATTGACATCTTTCAAAAAAGTGCTAAGATATTTTATTTTTGTAATGATATTTTTTTATTTTTAGAAAGTATAGGCCTAGCTTAAAAAAATAAAAGTTCG